TGTGCTAGCTATATAGTTATTCCTAGCATTTGACCAATGTACAATACATTTTAGTAGAATTATCATGGTAGGAACTTACTAAAATGTGCACAGGTCCAACACCGGAGTAGGTATTTTGAATACTTCATGCTACAGGATGCAGGTGATAATTAATAAATCCTGGAATAATCTCTTCAACTCTCAACCTTTTGTGGAGCAAATATTTTGAAATAAAATCACTGCCAGGTTTATTTTTGAGAAAACAAAGTGAACTCAAAGTGAATTTAAAATTTAAGTTCAGAATAGCCAAACTAACACCAAAGATCAATAGAGATTTTTTTCCTATTTTTGGCTATTTTGGCCTAAAGTGTTTTAGGGTGCATGGAATGCAAGATGTAGTGAATTTTTTTTGGAGATTTTTTTGTTCTAACACAAATGAGTATAATCATTCAAAGTAGAAAAAAATATTATTAACCCCTTAATGACAACTTCTGGAATAAAAGGGAGTCATGATGGACAATTTCCGTCATGTGTTCTTAAGGGGTTAACTGATTATTTAAATGAACTGGACAGTTGACATTGTTATTTGAATGTCATAATCTAAAATTGTATGACTTTGTGGTATCAGCTAAAGAAAAGGCCTTTTGGTCATCAAGTTTTTTTCTCAGGCCAAAACATTGCTTCTTTGAGGGTAGTAAGCCACATCACAAAATCAGTTGCTGGGGTGCATGTCATTTTTGGAAATATGACAATTATATTATAATTATATCACCATTTTGGTCAAATGTGGTACCCTATAATTCTTAGCTTGCCAGTCTGGTTCATTACAAATGTAGGTCACCTTATGTCATTGTTATTACTTCCTGTGGGTGTGATTTGTACAGCTGATTTCAGCCTGTTTGTTTCCATTCTATTATAACAGTGTTCGCAGCTCTTTACTCTGTATACAATGCTTTTCATTATTTGTCTTTTTGCTATATTCATGGGTAAGCTTTTATAAATAAATGTTCTTAACATTGTCTTAGAAATGTTTAGATGATTCAATGAAGTTACTTCCCAGCAGTGGCGTACATAAGATCCATGGAGCCCCGGTGCGAAAATTGATCCATTGGGCCCCCCCGCGTAGAGTTACTCTGTACGGGCCGGCGACCCCTGCGAGCCGCCAGTGCATGCAGATACACTTAAAGGACCACTATGAAGTGGTCTGGGTGCCAGGTCCCTCTAGTTTTAACCCTGCAGCTGAAAACATAGCAGTTTCAGAGAAACTGCTATGTTTCACTGAGGGTTAATCCAGCCTCTAGTAGCTGTCTCACTGACAGCTGCTAGAGGTGCTTCCGCGATTCCGCTGGACGTCCATAGGAAAGCACTGAGTAATGCTTTCTTATGGGTGGTTTGAATGCGCACATGCAAATTCAGAGCTGAGAGGCGGATTGGGGCGGAGAGATCCCCAGCGCCAAAGGTAAGTGCTGAAGGGGTTTTAACTACATACACACACTCTCACGAACAGACACATACACACTAGCTAACAGACACACACATTTACTGACAGACACACCCTCAGTGACTCACACACTCACTGATACACACACACTAACACACATACACACTCACATTATTTTTTTTTTTATTTAATCCCCCAGCCTCCCTACCTTTGGGAGTGCTGTGGGGATTCCTGCTGTCCCTGGGGTCCAGTGTGCGAGGGTGCACTCTCCCCCTGAGTGCTCTCTGCCCCTATGATGTCATATTCCGGCTCTGGCATCAGTGGAGTGCACACAAGGGAGCTGGGCAGAGAGCACTCAGAGGGAGAGTGCTCCCTCGCGCCCGCCCAGCAGCCCAGCCGCCGGCAAACTGAAGCCACTGCCAGCCTCGGGGGGGCCCTGAGGTGGCCAGCTCCTGGGTCCCCCAGGAGAAGAGTCTTGGAAAATGTGGCCACACTGGCGTGCATACCGGGTCTGTACGCCACTGCTTCCCAGTCTGACAAGGAGCTCTGAGCAGTGAAGAGTGAGTGAGGGGGATCCCAGCATCCTGTGCTTCCCCGTGATACCCGTGAGAGAATAATGTTGATTCCTTATCAAGGTATTACAAGGCCACATTTCAAAGAATGACACACTTCCTGTCTGTCAGGCAGGGCAGTTCTCCCAACCCTCATGTTTATATGCTACTGCTTTGACTATTCTTTGTCTGATCTTTATAAACGTAATAAAAACTAAAAATAAATTTTCACTGACCACCTTCCTGCACTTTTCATTTACGTCTACACTGTCATTTGGAGAAAGGGATACTATTAAGATGGCAAACTTTCATTCATGTTGTGGATTAGCTGTTTATTAGTGTGTTTATTAGTGTGTCCTGCAATGCAAAAACAGTTAAAAACAGTTACAATATTGCTTAAATTCCAACCCTAATGAACAGACAATATCAGGCATTTTTGCAATGCCAATTCTGATTTGGAAAATTTTTATTATTTTATAACTAGAGTAAAAAAAAAAAGGAAGTTAGAGAACTTAATGATTTATTATAATTGTTTTCCTTTTGCTATCTTGCATTCATGAAAATATAGAGCAGGCATATTTTTACATTGAAAAAAATGGTTATTAAAAAAAAAATTGTATGGAAACGTGGCCCCAACCAACTCACCCATTCCACCATAAGATGAACAAAGCTTTCCAAAACATCCAGTTGATGACCATGCTTCAGGATGAAAAAAAACAAAACAGTGCCGTATCATCTTCTCCTAATTGTGCCTGCACAGGTAGCAGGAACTAACCAATATGTTCAAGTGGGGCAAAACCACTGCAAATGAAAGGCATTGAAAAAAGTTGGAGCTGCATTAGCTTGAGTATGGCTCATGGCTTCATCAGTTGCCAGTATGATATTATTTGCCTGCTGAAAATTTTGCAAATTTTTGGAAATGTTTGATTTCGCTGCGAATTATAGAGCAGGTCTCAATTTAATTGCTTGCAGCTAACATAACAACATTTTGAAATTTTTAATTTACGGAAGCATATCTGGATGTGGAGAAAAAATGAATGCAAATGAAGTGTGCAGAACAGTGGAAAAAATATGTACAAAAGAACTCTCTCGCAGAGCTTTGTCTATGTTAGCAGCTTTGTTGGTGATAACGAACCCAACATGCAGCATGTTTGCCTACAATATATGTGTTAAAGTTTGCTTTTTATCCATCACTTCAGTGTATAGCAGTAGACATCAATGCCCTGCTGCCCTAAAAATCCACTGTCACCCTGACATGCTGACAAAGTTGGACCTTCTCCACTAAAAACACCATACCCAGGCACCAAGGGCTTAGTGTGTTGTCAAGAAGATAAAGAGTATGTTGGCCAGTAGGAACATGCCATAAATCTGTGGGGAAGTATATGCACTGAACAACAGTCTTAACCAGCTGAACTTTTATTACTTACCATGCTGGAATGGTACAGTGCTAGAAGTATGTTATTGCAAAGAAATTACATATTTTGGAACCTATTTTGTGGTCTGTATCAGCTGATTAAAGAGCTCTACTGCTATCATAAAAGTAGATTTTGTTTGAGTAAAATGTTTTTACTCAAGTCTGCCACAAGTTCAGTTGAATTGCAGTTCAGGACAAACTAAATCCCTAAAAAAAAAGTTTTAAAATAAAGTCTAAAAATAATGAAGGATTGCACTGAAGGATTCTAAAGATATCATATTATAAGCTGAAGATCAAAGTGGTGATTATTACACCAGGAGTCCTGGATCACTGTGTTTGATATTTTGTGCATTTAACACTGCATCTGATGGTCTCAGATAAGGTGCTTAATGCATGAAACTCATAAGACAGCAGTCCTGCTTTACTGGTGTGGTGGTAGCCAAGCTTGTGTGGTTTTTTTTGTTTGTTTTTTTAAATGAAGATCATGCTATTTTTTTATCTTGGCATTCCCCATGTGTGTTTTGATTTATGTTCATGGAGGCACGCAACACCACATCGCATTCCGACGTGACATTGACATGCTCCACCTTCATAGGGTTTCAAAAAGTAGCGGGAGGATCAGATTTGGAACAGGGTGTGGATGGGCCATTTGGGTTATACCAGAGGCTGGACTCCAGAGTCACATACTGCCAGCAACAATGTGACTGGAGTCTGCTTGTTGGCTAAAGGGGTATGCTGGGATTTTGTAGAGGGGGAGACTGGGATTTAGTAGAGGGGGGTGCTGTGGTTTAGTAGAGCGGAATGCTTGGGGTTTTTTTATACTGTACTTTTCAAAATAAACCTATGTTACTATGAAAATTTAAGGTTTTGGGGTTTTTTTTGCGGCCTACATAAACTTAACCTTGTTTATGTGGCCCATGCTAGACTTTGAGTTTGACATGCTTGGTTTACACTATTAAAGTTTGATTTCATTTATTCACATTAAAGAATTGAAGAATGGTTCTGGGAAGTGATATATATTGTACCCTAAAGAATTGAAGAATGTATCTGTCAAGTAATATGTATTGGTGTGTTTTTCTGCATCACGTTTGGGTGACATTTTAATGTAAAGGCATAACAATTTGTATGTATTCCAATTCATTATACAGCCATTCCACACGGCACTGTTCTTATTCTCTGTGTAAGGTTTCTTAGAGTTGTACATGGGGTATTGGTGAAAGCTCTTAAATAATAGTTTCTTAAGCTGAATTCATTACTCATTTTTTATTTTTTCAGAACGTATGCATCAAAGAATTTCAAATAGTATGTATGCAGTTTGGAGTGAATTTATGCAACTTGTATCACACTTTCTGTGGGTGCTTTTCAATCATGATTGAAAAACCTTAAAAAGTTTTTTACACTGTTAGAACCTATTGGACAGTAAATTATAAAACAGTCTATTTTGCGATTCTTATTGAAAGCACAAAAATCAGTAAATATGCATTTTACCTACCTCTGGATTTATATTGGGTACAAGTTGAGCCTCTCTAAATGTGTCTTCAATGTTTGTAGCTTAGGATCCGCCCCTTCATAATACAGATAATGAGAGAACAGCATGAGCCCATCACATATGACAGCTGGCTGTATCTCTGCTACATCATGTCTGCAAGCAATGCACACACTTGTATTTGGATTATACTGTGGATTTTCTTAACAGTATGTAAGTTCCCAAATATAAGGATATTATATGTTATTCTCTGCTGCATGTTTTAACCTGCCTATTTGTTTAGTTGTCTATGAAAATCATTGACTTGCAACTTTTGAAAATCATAATAAATATAGTAAGCCGAATATAGAATTTATTTTTGTCTATTTGTTTCAGGTGCAGAAGGGAATCAAGTGGATCAATATCCATTAATCACAGCGAGCGAGAAAGAGACTGCTCAGATAAAGTGTAATCACAGCATTACTAATGCTAACAGCTTGTACTGGTACAAGCACATTAAAGGGAGAGCTTTAGTTATGGTCATCTCCGGATTCAATACAGAGTCAACTAATGGCAGGTTCCACATGGCCATTGATCGTAATCAGAGATCTACAGAGCTGTCTATTGAGTCAGTGGAGATACAGGACTCAGCTACGTATTACTGTTCTGTGGAGCCCACAGTGATACAGACTGGGAGGAACCCTGTACATATACTACAGAATGTTCCTGACTGTATACAATATGAATACATACATGTAAGGAAAAAGGTTAAAATATAGTAACAAGCATTTAAATTGGTAGATTGCAATTATCTCTCTTTGTTTTAATCAATATATCTTTTTGTATATAAAAAACTGAGAAGTTGAATCAAAATTAGTCAAACTGCATCATAATGTGTGTCAAAGGTTTCAAAAAGTGCATAGTATTAATTCAAGATGCAATGATAAAAAATTATAATAATCTATGGTAGGAGTGAGTTTAGGAATTTGAAAGATTTCAATTTTTTTAGCACTGTATTTTCTTTCAAATCTGTTACACAATTCCTGGCAAAATATTGGACATTTTTACTAAAACTATAAATTATTAAATAAATCAAATAACAGCAATAGAACATTTAGTTTGTTGCAAGTCTCCAAGACTAGATTCTACTACTTATTATTACCAAAATGAATGGCACTCAGTTTATCGACCTCACATTTACAGAAATTGAACCTATGACTCTGATATACTCTGTAGATGGAGCAAAACAAACTTCCTACAATTTCTGTGTTTGCCTATGGATTCTTTACTATCTTTGTAATACCCAGTAATTGTCCACAGGTGGCAGTATTATGTATAAAATGTAAAATGTATAAAACAGACAGACACCTATAAATATTATAAACAAACCAAATTGAAAATCTATGAGTATGCTATCTTAATGTTGGAACTGGAGACAGTGGGTTGTGGAGAAAGCAGATTAGTCATCCTGTAGCATCAAATAAATTGTATTTATTTTATTGCACAACTAAAATTAATAAAAAAAATTGAGAATGGGATTGTGTTTGGATACTCTTTTTGCATTGTGAAGATTTTGATCTGTTTAACCTCCCTGTGCCCGCCCCCTCCCTGTGGTCAATAGGGTCATGTACAGGACTATTCACTTATTATTATGGAAATTCAAAAATAGCATTTTGCAGTTTGGTATATCCTGCTGGGCTCACATGCATACTGATCAGCAGCCAAACTGTGAAAAATAATAATATTCATAGAAAATACTCTTCTTATCATAAGTGCATTAAATAAATATTAAGTGCATTAAATAAAATAGTGTCATCCAAATCTGATTCACTTTATATAGAAACATATAAAAAGTTGGGAAATATCACCTAAGCATAACAGAACCCCCACCACCTCACACGTCTTATGTTAGGATATTAGGTCAGGGAGACAACACACTTATTTAAAGGCATGCAACTGCTGTTATAGCACAAAAAACAATGAACCCTAATTAAAGGATAAACGCCACTAAACAATGCTCCAAAGAATATGTGTCATTGGTATATAGGTCTATAACAGCCAAACATAATAGTGACTACAAAAAGCTTATATTAACACATCCACCAAAATAAATACAACAATACATAAATATATTAAATTCATGTTATCAAACTAGAAATAATATAAAAATGGCACATAAGCATTAAGAGATAAACAAATTGGTGATTATAATTGGAATACACATTTAACAATCACTAATCAATTTGTTCTAGGCAGCAGTGAATATCTTTTAAATTCTATTACATACAAATAGAAACTTGGCATAAACTAGAACAAAACAAATTATCCTCAAAACAAGTCATCAGAGTAATGATTCGTATTCCTGATATGTGCAAGAAAACATATGTAAGAAATATAAGCATGATTGGACTCATACTGCCTGAATAGCAAACCAGCATTTCCCTGGATCAAATACAGCAACATGGGTCATCTATCAATTCAGGGGAAGATCTTCTAAATATTTGAATCTAAAGAAAATTAAATAAATAATAAACAAAAAGTAAAAAATAAATAACACATGAAATGACCTCACGCCAAAAGGTTTCCTGGTATTTAAATTAAAGCATGAAAGGGGATGAAGATTTCAAAATAAGAACAAACGTAAGCTGTAATTCAACTGGAGTCATCTACCTCCTAATATGCCCTTGTAGGAGACACTACGTAGGAAGAACAAAAAGAAAACTAAAAACAAGACTAGGAGAACACATCAGAAACATCAAGAAGGGACTAACTACCCACAACCTTTCTAGACATTTCTCCACCCACCATTCAAGGAACCCAGCAGGTCTGGAATTTTTAGCTATCGAAAAAGTGACCATCCATTGGAGAGGAGTTGATTTAGAAAAAGCCCTAGATAAGACTGAAGCCAAATGGATTTCTAAAGTAAACAGCCTGGAACCTCTAGGCCTGAATATCCCCTATCAACCAGTTTTAGACTTTTTATCTTTATCTCTATTTTTTATTTTTATCTATTTTTATTATTTATCTATTTTTTTACCTTTATATCTATTTTTATTTTACCACTATTTATATTCAACATTAAAGTACTAAGGAGCCATTTTAATCAATCTTTGGGGTATCTTTTTTATTATTTTTCTATTGAGAATTAAGTATTTTATATTGAAAACTAAGTATTCTATTAATTAACTATAAAATTTCTGGATTATGATTATAATATTAATTTACCACGAGCCCATAGAACTTGTATGATGCAAAGCACGCGGTTTACAAAAAGTATTAGTGACTATAGATCCTTTACATTGCATAATAATACATTCAAGATGAAACTGAATACAAATTCAAGATATTCCAAATAAACAAAAGGTTATATACAAAGCACTCATAAAAGAAAACATTATAAATTAAATCAAATCCCAAACTACCTCCAAAGATTTGTGACTCCTCTCACAAAGGATGGCACATATTTTGCACTCACCAAAGTCACACACTCATGGAGGTAATATCAGGAGTCAAACAAAGGAATTGTGAGTCACTGGAAATTAGACTAGCCCCCAAAAGGAAGTTGTTCTCTGTATCATCATAATTGTTATTTGTCAAAATGGAACTTCATAGCAATAAGACCCTTATCATGGGGAATGGCAGGATATAGTGCGCAGACATCCAAAGTCACCCAAAGGACACGAATATCCCATAATTGAATTTCTAATTAACCCAAGAGATGTTTGGTGTCCATCAAGTAAGAGGAAAGTCTGCCTACTAGAAGGTGAAGATAAAAATCAACAATTTCTGCCAAATGTTCATTCAAAGATGCAATACCTGACACTATTGGTGTCCCAACAACATTATCCAGTTCTTTATGCACTTTTGGCAAATGATGAAATATAGGTAAAATTGGATATTTAACCATAATTATTCAAATAAATCTCCATCAATAATCACATAATCAAAGGGCATAAGCCGAATTCTCTTTTAGAACTGGATTAGATCTCCCAGTGGGATTAGAGGACAATTGACTGTCTCTTTGCAAATGTTATCCTCCATAATTTACATCTCCTATGTGGATAGTGTACTTTCTAGTGGCTGAACTACCAGCAGTGCAGCTGTACCCTATTGGGTAGGGCAAACCCAATAGGAAGGCAGATGTGATGAGGGCCCCTGTTGGTTACTGCGGCCCTTTAGGAGTGTGACTGGCCCCCTTTACTGTCGGCAGCCAGTGCCGGAAGGAAGTGACAACCTGTCAGATTACTAGAAATTAGGCAGCCATTGTCATCACTAAAAACACCATGTAAAAAAAATAGGGGGATATAACCTCCCTCTGGTTCACAACCAATGTGGGGAATGTTTTAAAAAGTAAAATAACCATGAGTAATTTGGGGTAAAACTTACTCACATATTCCTGAGCAGGTAGAACTGCTCAGTTGATAAAGCGTAGGTGGTATAATCCCTACCTAGGATTCTTTGTGAGGTCTTCACTGGAGAAAAAAAACAGGATGCCAGGTAGTATAAAATAATAAAAATAATTAAAAAAAGGTTTATGGCACAAATTATAGTAAAATAGCCAACAGACATTTATAATAATAAAACAAGTAAAAAAAAAAAAAAAAATCGATAACGCGTTTCTCTCAAGCAGGGCTTTATCAAGGTCATCAAACAAATACCTGGCATTCAGTAGTTTATATATGGTTTAAAACTCAATAAAATTTAATTTGGCGGGTAAGTGACGTCATAGTCAAGTGGTCGGAGTCATGACCATCTTAACTGGTTAAAAATAATTAATAAATAATATGGCAACAAAGTTTTGTAGATAAACATTTTAGCATAGAAATTGTATAAAACAAGTATTGGAAATAAAGATAATATAGCGAGTGACTTGGAGGATTATGGGAAATGTATTATCAGAGGGGAAGGGGACGGGCCGCGATGGTGTAGGGGGGTGTGGAGGAAGGAAGGCCGTACTGCAAATGGAAATGGAGGGGGAGTGTGAAGCTGGTCAAGTGGGAATAAATAAAACTGCGTCAGCTCCTACCAATCCCCAAGCAATGGGGTGGAACCAGCAGGCTAGATATTTGGTGGAGAAAGGGAGTGTCACAGTTCTCACCATGACATACAGACAAGGTAGACCCAGAAGTGTCCAACAGGGGATTTGAACTTGGGTACTTTGTAGTTTTAAGCCTGTGTTACTGCCTCTGAGCCACTTCAGCTCTTGCTCCTGCCTGAAGCTTTTCCTTGTCATGTCTCCAGCATTGGGGGCTGGACCTTACCTGTGACTACTCCTGTCAATCATGGTCCACATGTAGCTTATCACTAATTAGCCTGGTATAAGACACTGCCTCTCCCTGAGGACAGTGTCAGTTCATTGACTCTGGTTCACGTTTGTTGTTCCTGTTTCTGAGTATCAAGATCGTGTGTTCTCCAGTTTCTTCCTGGCTCCTGACCTTGGCTCTTCACATTGTTTTCTCTGACCTCTGGATTCCCCAGACTTCGGTTTTCCATGACTACTCTTCTGCTTCTCCTTGCCTGTATTGCGACTTGGAGTATATCCCTGCACAGCCCCCGTGCACAGACTCACAGGCCAGGTGAATTCTTACCTTGTTCTGTGTTTATTTGCAAGGGTGAGCATATTTCTCTGCATACCGGACTCCACATCAGGTAAGATTCCTAACAGGGATCTTACCTGATGTGGAGTCCGGTATGCAGAGAAATACCGGGGTTGACCAATCCCCGAAATGGGGGGGGCGGAGCTGGGGACATGCTACGCAATGGGAAGAGGGAGGGAAGGTAGAGCTGGGGTAGGCTGCTATAATTGGTGCTTTAAAGCACGTGATTGCTTGTGGTGGCCATATTGGGAAGGGCAAATGGAAGTGGGAAAAAATACCATAATGGAGTGACCATATTGGGAGGGGAATAAAGCACTTTTAAAAAACCCTATAAAATGGAATATTAAAAAAGAGAAAAGTAAAAAATAATAAAAAAAGTGAAGATTAAGATAAACATAAAATATAGAATCAAATTTAATAAACATATTAGAATATTATAAAAAGTTTAAAAGGTCAAAGTCAGCATTTAAACTACCTGGAATTAATGTTTTCAAGTTAAAAACCCATTTCATCTCTTTTCTGCCTAGAATATTTTGTATGTTGCCTCCTCTCCAGGGGATATTACATTTTTGTATACCCATGAATTTTAAATGTGTTACATCATTCTGGTGTATATGGAACTGTTTAGAAACAGTATGATTTTCATATCCCCTGGAGATGTTACAGAGATGTTCCCCTAGTCTGGTTTTTAGACATCTAGATATCATGCCTACATACTGGAGTCCACAAGGGCACCCCAGCATGTAGATAACATTTTTGGTGTTGCACGTAATAAAGTCGACTACCACTAGAAGAGAAAATAAACCTTCCCCATCTATGCCACAATATCAAAAACAATCACATTTGGTATCAAACAGAGATCACATAAGAACTTCCACCTACCGCAGAGATTACATTTTCTCTTATCAAAGACAACGATTT